TATGGAAAATAACCAAGTCCAGAGAGGCAGTTCCAACTCGAACATAATAGCAGCACATGAGATAATGGAGCCCTGCGCATAGGCTCACAGACTTCCGTTCCTGGAAGGGGCTTCTCTTCCCTTAAGCATCCTCCACATCATTGCTAGCATACAAGTTGGATCAGGTCACATCCCTGCTCCCCAAACCTTCTCTGACACCACATCATCTCCGGAGGGGGAACAAAGCCAGGCCGCAGGTGTTCACTGCTCTCCACGCCTGCACCCACAGCAGACATCATTAAGCGATTACCGCATAGTCTGCTGAGCCTGCATGTAGCCTCAGGATCTGACTCTGCACTCTCCAGGCAGCCACTGCTAATCGATCACCCTCGGGATGAAAACCATCTCCCTCTCTTTGGAGGAAGAGAGCTGGAACTCCTCAGCCTGGCCTTTTGCTATCTTTTCCCACCCTGATTTCCAATCACTGCTTCTATGCTCCAGCTTCCTTCACCTGCTCGCCATTCCCAAACAGTCTGCCTTTTTCTTATCCTCAGAGCCTCTGTCCAGGCCGGTGTCTCAGCCCGGAATGCCCTCTATGCAGACTGCTGGTTGTCTCTCCATTATCTGTTCTTCCACGTCTGACGGCAACAGACTTGAATCTGGGCATATGGCTGCCCAGCCAAAAAAAAAAAAAAACAAAACTCTGCCTGGCCCCCCTTGGCCCCGGTAACCAAGTGGCTAAAGAGCTGCCCACTGGGATCCGAGCAGAAGTGATGCATGTCGGGATTTTCTTTTTCTTTCCAGTTTTGCTCTTAAAGGTTTGGGTATATGTTCCCCCAGCCTCCTTCTTCTCTCACGCTAGCCAGGGATGGTGAGAACAAAACGATTGTCAGCATCACGCCACATGAAGAAGATGGCAAGGCCACCTTCCCAGCCCTGAACCACAGTCCTCTGGCCTGCTAAGGAAGGGACCTCCCCTCTACCTTGTTAGGGCCCCTGTATCTGGAGCTCTGTTGTTATGGGGGCAGCTCAATCTATACCCTAACTGTATGCCCTCCCGCCAACCTCCAGTGCCACCTGTTCGGGGAAGTTTTCCCTGAGTCCCGAGCTCCTCTGGGATCCCTGGCACTTCGTATGCCTCTTATCAGCACACTGTAAACCAGTGGATGGCCATGGGCTCTCCCATGAACCCGGCCGAAGGCAACTTCTGTCCTGTCCATCCATTCTCTGTACCAGGGCTGGCTAAGGTGCTAATGCAAAGATCTCACCATCCCACCCATCATCCATGCTTTGGCAGTCCAAACCTCTTGGCCTGGTGGCCACATCGTGACTCTGGCCTACACTTCCACCTCAGAGGTGAGGCCCCGCAGCCATCTGCACCAGCCACTCAGCTGACGAGGCTCCTTCCGTGTGAAATCCCTCACCGTGCCAACCCCACCCAGCCCCAGCGTGGCGGGCCTGAAGGAGCTGCTTCCTTGATGGCTGGAGCCCATATTGTCCTGCTCTTCATTTGTTGCGAAGAACAAGGAGTGGGAGTTTCCCTAATCTTTGTATGCTTCCTCAAGTGGCCTGGGAAGTCCCATAGTGTGTGCACTGGTTCCCAAGGCCCTTCCCCTGTCCCACCAGGCCATATCCTTTGCAAATGGCCCACGCTTACTCCTCTGAACTTCTGGTGGCTGTGACTGTCCTAGTGAGGCCCAACCTTCAGCACCCTGGCCCAGGCCTGCGGGCCCATCACGGCCCTGGAAAACAACGCATGTGGCCCAGGAGCGGTCAGATCTCAGCCAGTACGTGGCTATTTTGGGACAGGGAGGATCCTGGGAGGATGCTGGCGAGGTCAGAGTAGGAAGGGAAAGAGGTGGGTTTTCTGCCCATGATTATGTGTCCTGAGCCCTCTGGAGGCCATCCAGGGGCCCAAGGCTGCCACTAGGAAGGACACACCCAGGGCTCCGCCTTAGCCCAGCCAGCCACAGAGGCCGACTGGGGGTAGGCATGGGCTCAAGATTCCAGGCTCGGATCCCAGCGGCCACAGGAGGCAGAAAGAGTGTGTGTTTATGTGTTCTGTACCAACAGCGGTGACTTCAGCATCAGGCAAGACTCAGGACACTCTCAGGGTGGGGTGGGGTCGGGTGTGTGGTGTATGAAGGTGGGGAGGTGTCAGAAACCAGCCAGAGGGCAGATGACGAACACAGGAAAGAATCCAACCTCTCAGGAATGATCCCTGATGCTAACTTACTGAAGATGCATTGAGCATCTCTGTACGGGCACGTTCTTAGATGCCAGTGGGACGGAAATGATGATGCTTTGACTTTGTGGGCAGCACTTTCCAGCGGTATAAGTCCTGCATATATCAGGAACCTCAAAGGGGTTCACAAAGTGGTTTTATAAACTCTGACCCTACGGAAATAATCTGAGAGGCATCATTTAGGTTCACGAACGAGAGTGGTGTTCTACTCATGAGTCTGGACACCAGAAATCCACGCTGCCTGTTTGGAGTGTCCTGGGAGCGGCCATCCATCAGTATGAAGTGCTCGGTACTGTTCCTGGCACGTAGCAGGTACTGGGTTAGGGGCAGTGGCAGCGAGCGCTGTTATTGGCAACAGCTTGGCAGCCGTGTGGCCTGCAGCCTCCAGCGTGGAGGGGGTAACTTCACCATGGGGCGAGAACCCTCGGGCTGGACGGAAGGAGAAGGTGCAGAGACCCACCCGAGAGGACCTAGCCCATCTCAGCAGATGCATTTTACTCCGTGGTTCCGTTGTCTGAGATGCTTCCACGTGGCCCTTCCAGTCCTCTCCTGCTGCTTCTCCAAAAAGCTGGGAGAGCATCTTAGTCTCCTGATTTTTGCCTCAATTTGGGGTCCTCTTATTAAATTCTCCTGATGTGACCCACCTGTCTCTGATCTATAATTTGGGCCAAACTGCCCTCCAGGTGATTCTCCAACACCCTAAACACCCCTCCCAGGAGCCTTTGCTCTCTCCTCCCATCTCCTGCCTGCCGGGTCCCTGCTGGTGGCCCCTCCCCACCCCTCCGCACTGTGTCCCTCCTTCCCACCACCTCTGAGCGCTCGCCCTTGCTTTACCGCTCCCTCCTCCCAGTCCAAGACCCCCGGGTCACACACAGACTCCCAGAAGTGAGGAGAGACTGGAACCTTTCCTCCTTCCTGCCACATCCTGCCCCAGCCCCGAGCCTCCCACGACTGCCTGAGCCAGACTCTCCCAAGTGCAAAATTGACGCCTGTCCCCACTTGGAGGGCAGGCGGGACACGTGAAGCCCAATCAGGAAGGAGAGGGAGAAGCCTCCGCCTCACCATAAATGTGCAGCCCACGCGGCCCCCAGCACCAGGGCACGGTGTTTGACAGGATTTCTGTGCATCTTCAAGTACAAGAGAAATTGAGGCACTGACGAGAACAGTACTTTCTAAGAATCAGGAAAAGCGCTAAGTACTTTGCATGACTGTCTCACAGAGTCTCCACCATACAGCTGCAAGGTGGCTACTAACCCCATTTGTCACACCAGGCAACTGAGACAGAGAGGTTCAGTAATTCTCTCAAAGTCACACAGCTGATAAATGTCAGAGCGGGACCCCAAACCTCTACTGTCTGTGGCTCCAAGTGTCCTGCCCTTCAGCCGCATTCTAGACTTGGAGCAGAAGGCGGTGGCAGTTGGCCGAGAGCTGTGGGGACAACAGACAGGCTTAGCTGAAGCATGGGCTGCCCTAGAGGGCCTGACGCTTACGGGTGCTCCGCCCAGGCCCTGCCACCCTTCCCTCACCTTCACCCCAGCTCATTAATCTTGGCATTCTTTTGCCAACAAGTTTCCCAGATGCCAGCACTCAACATCCTGGGCCCTGTGGGAGGGAGAGAGCTTCCCAGGACTCTGGACACCCTTTTAATTAACCCGGCCGACCCTCTCCCGACGGGCCAGCTGAATCCCGTCATGGCCCCACCGTTTCCCGTGGTGGCGCCCTCAACAGTGACTCCACCCCAGCTCCCCTCATTCCTCTGACAATGTGGGCTCCCCATTTCCCACACGCCCACCACCTGTTGGCCTCCTTGCCCTGGCCTGGGGACCCTGGGTGAGGACTACCGGGACCCCTGGGCGCCTGTGCCCTGTGGGGGTCCTGCCATTGTCACATGCCCGCAGAGGGTGAAAAGGAGCCTACTTGGGGCTGACAGAGGCCCTGAGCAGGGCAAGCCCCTCTGTGATTACTCGAGGGTGTCCCCACTCCTCATTGTCTCTTTCTGGAGCTTCCTTCCTGCCCCACAAAAAAAAGGATAGCCCATCCCAGTTACTCATGGAGCAGTGACACTTGTCGATCTGTCATTCTCATAGCTTAATCCTAATGACTACTCACCTAGAAGAGCCCTCGTGAGCTGTAACTGGTCACTACCATTAACGGTGGACTGTGCCATTGAACTCACCACGCAGCAGGGAGCCCAGCACGGAGTGGGAACCCCGGGTGAGGAGCACAGGGCCGGTCGACGGCAAAAGCGGGATCCGAGTCCAGATTACCACCCCCCCCCCACCACCTTGCAGCCTCGAATCCGTGTGTGAGTATGCATTGACGCGGGTCGCATTGTGAGTATGCATTGTGCGTCCAGCAAACGCACAGCGCCCTGAGCCATCCGGCTAGGGCAGGCAAGTTTTACAAGGATGGACTCATTCATTCATCTGTGTAACAATTTTGTACACCTACTGTGTGCCGGGAGTTGGGGGCACAACGGTGAACTTGACGAGCCAGGTCCCTGCCCTCATCGTCATACGTGATTTCACCCCCTGGCGGGCTCCCCCTCCTCCCACAGAAGGATTTACAGATGAACGAATATGTGAACAAGTGAATGACAAATGGCAGGTGGGCGGGCCAGTTGACCAGCAGAGGGGAGGTAAGCATTTCAGATCCCATCATTCCCATCTTTCACATCAACAGTGATGCCGCGAGCAGGTGTGGTGAGATCACGCCCACTACGGGGGAACTCCGGTTCCGGTCCCCCTCCCGGTCACCTATGCGCAGGGCTCCTTACCTGGTGGGCAGTGACACCCTGCAGACGTCTTCGGGGGGGCCTCCCGGCGCCTCCGAGAGTGGAGCTTCCATTTCTGCGAAAGGAGACAGAGAAGAGGGATCACGGATTGGAAGGCCAAGCCCTGGGAAGGGTCTGCAGGCTGGTGGGGATGGAGGGGGAGAAAGGGCCACCTGGGGGCCGGCGGGAAGACTGTTCCTGGATCAAAGACTGGCCACAGGCGTCTGCATAATAAGAAGCAGATGGAGAAGGTCCTATCTAGGGAATCTCAGTGTCTGATGTCTTCTGAGTGCTCTTAAAGAAATTAACCCCAACCCCAAGGCCCTATAAACCAGTTGTGGCCTCCCTGCACTCCACAATCACGGGCACAATGACCCACTTTTCTCGGCTCTCTGCTAATTGTTTCCTGTCTAGGTCTGGGCTCCTGATTGATCCTGGCGTCAGGGACAGTGACTTCTGTTCTGGTGTCCCTCACAGCCAGGCACAGGCGGGCCTGGGCAGCGGTGGGGGAGAGGGGTTGAGCAGACCACCTTGTCCCCCCCTATGGAAACTCTTCCTTTGCAAAGCACCGAGCCAATCAGGAAGGGCCCCAAGGAAGTGGCGGCAAGAAGACCGAGGTGTCTCCTGCCCTCGCAGCTGCCATTTCCGTGGTGGCGATGGACAGGCACACGGCTGTAAGCACCAGCATCCCAACTTTTCAAAGGGCAGTGCGCCGAGCGCCTCGGTCCCCCAGCCACACAGCGTGGGCCACACTGGCACAGAGGCTACAAGGGACGCTTCCGGGGCGAGGCTACCCGCGTCCCTACGCAGTCCTCCGACCCTGAGCAGGATTAAGCCTCGCTGGGTTAATGGGAGGATTGAATGGTCAATGGCTCTTATCACACTCCCAGGTTACAGGTGAGGAACCCCACGCACAGGGCGGGGAGACTAACACGGCCAAGGTCAGAGGTGGAGTATGGCAGGCACCGGGCTCGGATGCTAGTTGGGCAGTTAGAACCTGGTAGCCCCGGGGCCAAGTTAGCCTCTAGATGTGTTTTATTCGGTTCCTCCAGTGATGTTTTTTTTTTCATTGACTTTGTTTCCAGTAGTTTGAAGTGACTGATTTCACATGTAAAGCTACCACAGCCACAGCCACAGCCACAGCCACAGCCACAGCCACCGTGGCTCGCAGGCGCTGACTCTGACCAGTATACTGAGGTCCCTGCATGCGAAGCAGGTGCCCAGCCCCCAATGCACATTTCTCCATCGTCTGCCTCCTCAGCGCTGTGTGGTTCTGCCGCGCAGGCTGGGCCCCGGGAGAGGTAAAGAAAGTCATAGGATTTGGTGTCAGCTGTTTGGGGGGTGGAGATGGAAGGTCAGGAAAGCTTCATGAGGATGTGTAATGTCTGCGGAGCCCCCCCCCCCCCCCCCGGGGAACTACCATTGAGCTGGCCGATTTTGCCCGGAGAATCACCTCTTTCTCACAGTCTAACTCTAAGGGAGATTTCCTAGTGATCTCATGTTCTACGTCAGGAAACGGAGGCTCAGAGAGGCTGAGTGACCTGGTGGAGTCACACAGCTGTGTCCGCGGCGGGTCTGGGATGAGACCTCAGATCTTTTGACCCAAAGTCCACTCCATCCTGCTGGAGAGAGGCGCACGACGCCCCCGCGCGAGAGAGTACAGCAGACCAGGCGGTGGGGGTTGGGGGGGGGGGTTGCTGGGCAGAGGCTCTGAAGGCAGAAGGGGGCTGAAGCTCAACATAGACAGGAGGGAGAGGAAAGGAAGAATGTTCCAAAAGGGAGGCCCTCGCTCACGAAGGGCGGCTGACACACACATATTAGGTAGACAGATGTTGAGGTCAGGCTGCGGGTGGATCCTTACCAAGCAAACAAATGACCCCCCAGCACAAAGTCTAGTGAAGGGCCCAGCTCTGAGCCCAGCTCACGAATCCACTCATCGCTGGGGGACCACGTGCATCCACCTGCAACCTTCCCACCAGTAACCTGTGGGCTCTTCAAGGGGCTTATTTGTGGCTGTGGCCGGCACACAGTAGGCATGTGACTTACGTCCGCTAACAGGCAGCGCCAGCCAGCGAGTGACAAGCCAAGGCCAGCTGGGTTTGCACAGGGTTGCGCTCACTCAACCCCAGCGACACGCCAAGCAGAGGTTGGGTCCTGGAGCTAGAGAATGCAACGCAAGGGGTGGATGGGGCCCCTGCCTTCGCGGGGCTCACCTTCTGGTGGGGGAGACAGAGAAACAAACAAGCAAACAATTCAGTGGTAAGTGTGGCAGAGAAAAATAAAGTAGGGTAAAGCGAACAGTGATGGCAGGAGGTATTGGAAACTCGGGGGTCAGAGAAGGGGTCTCTGTGGAGGGGACGTTCAGCACTGACCTGGCGCGAGCAAGGAAATGAGTCATGCGCAGACGTGGAGGGGGTGTGTTCCAGGCAGAAGGAAGCAGAAGCAAAGGGCCTGAGACAGACGGCGCAGAGGATTAAGGGTGTTAGAGGGGGTCGGGGCAGCATGGCTGGAGGGCTGAGCGCGGTGGGAGGGCACAGGGCAGGGCACTGGCAAAGGCTGAATTTATGGTGACACAGGCCCCTGACAGTTCCATGCCCTCTTGACAGCCAGGAAACGTGCTGCTTACGGTCGCATGCTGTGGCCTTGCTCTAATTCGCTACCGCTACCGTTATCCCGGATGAGAGCCCAGCAGGTGCTCGGTGCTTCCCTGGATCCTTCAGCTCCCGGCCCCTGCTTCTCCCGCCTCCTTCCTTCCCAACCCCAGCGCCCTTCCCCCCAACGTCCCTGTCAACTGATGACCCTGAGAAAACAGAAGCAGCCAGAAGAGGCCTGCCAGCGGCTCCCGCCACCGTGCACGCCCGCCCACATGCGCCTGCGACGGCACCTGCCCCTTCTCTCTGCTTCTCCCACGTGAGGCCAACCTTGCACCTGCATGCACGCCAGGCTTTCCCCGCCCACCCACATCAGCAATTCCCTGCTCTAGGCTCCATCCGGGGCTCTCATCAGGCTCGGCCTTTGCTATAAAGGGCCAGCTACGGAATAGTTCAGGCTGTGCGAGCTGCACGACGACACAACCACTCAGCCGTGCTGCCGGAGGCGAGAAGCAGCCACAGAAAACACGAAACGCAAAGCTGTGTTCCGGTAAAGACACATTTACGAAAACAGGCTGCGGCCGGGATGTAGCTGTCGCCTGCCACTCCCTGATGTAATCATTAGGCAGACACGCTGCTGTTCCTCCCCCCCCATAAGGAGAAAGGAAAAGAAAAATCCTCTCTTGACCACGCTCTTTCCCAGGCAAACTCCTGGAGCACCCCTGCAAGGCTCTGACCCTCCCTCCACCAAGCGCTGTCCCCCAGGTCGTCAGTGACCCCCGTGTTGCTAAGCCCAGGGGACAGTCCTTCTCATCTCAGCCCGTGACAGTATTCGCTCGCCCCTCTCTCCACCTGGCTGCCAGGACGCCACCCTCCCAGTTTCCCTCCTGCCAGTCCGTGCACCTTCTGTCTCCTCTGTTGGTTCCTTCTTATCTATTTGGAGGCCGCAGGGCCCTGGCTCACCTCTTTTCTCTCTGCTCTGGCTCCTGGGGGCCCTCGCCCTGCGTCATGTCTCCTCTGTACGTGACGATGCTGACCTCACTGCCTCTCCTGCTCGGATCTTCCTCCAGAACCAGACGCACGTATCCAGCTCCCGACTTAACACCTCCATTGATTGGATCTCAAAATTAGCTTGGCGAAACCGGGCCCTTCATATTTCGTCCCCACTCCCCTGAGCCTGCCCCTCCGCTGTCTTCCTCGTCACAGAGAAAGGTGACTGCATGTCGCCAGACCCTGGAGGTCATCAGTGATGCTTCCTTCGCTCTCACTCCACGCCCATTTGGCCAGCTGCTCCTGGTATCCACTTTCTGGACACATCCAGGATCTGACCCCTTTCCACCACCTCCGCACTACGCCCAGTTCAAGCCTCATCATCTCTGTCCCAGTCACTGTGACAACCTCCTGGCGACCCCCTCGTGATAACCTCGTGATAACTCCCTGCCTTTAGCCTTGCCCCACAGAGCATTCTCAACATGGCCGCCAGGGGGCCACACAGGCCTCCTTGATGCTCCTGCTCATGCCAGGCTTTCTCCTACCCCAGGGCCTTTGAACTTGTTGGCCTGTCTGCTTGGGATGTTCGTTTCCTAGCTAACCACCGTCTCACTCTCAGAGAGGTCTTCTCTGCCCCCAGTGCCCTCCTGCGACATACTTCCTATCCCTCCTCCCTGTTTTACTTTTCTCCTTTGGATCTTGTTGCGTTGTTGGCTCATTTATTTTGCTTCCTGTCTATGCTGATCACAGGAAGGTAAGTAAGTTCCACAAGGACATGGTCTGTTTTCGGCTCTCCCACTGTGTATTAAGCAAGAGATATAGCCCCTCAGGGCCTCAATTTCCTCATGTATAAAACGGGGATGACATTAGTTATCCCCGGGACTACACAGGCCAGGTAGAAGGATAAAATGAGATGAGATCAGAAAACAAAAAGAGTGTCCAGATGTGAAGAACTGGGAGCGTCATATCGCCCGTGCCTAGAACAAGGCCCGGCATATGGTAGGTGCTCAATAAACAGCGGTTGTTCATAAATCAGGAGATCTCACATCGAGGTGTGGACTTCCGATCTCTCTTATACAATGGGGCATCTGGCAGCACTGGGCCATGGCGACGACTGGGTGGTGCTGAGAGATGGCTGTCCCTTTTATGTGGGCATGTGCTGCCCGGGTCATCACAGTACCTCTCCCTGGCTGGCTTCGCTTACTTAGGCCACCAGCCTGGCCCCCTTAGGCATCCGAGCTTGAGACCCCTGGTGAGAAACGTCCAAGAGGAGGCTCAGGGGTGGGTGGAGAACCTGCCAAGACTCCAGCGTGGACCCACAGCCACCCTGGATGGAGCAGCCCTCCTGCTCCACCCCTGCTGGAGGCCAGGGCCTCCTGGAATGCCCCACATGGCCAGAGCCGAAACATGACTGCCTGATCTTTGCAGCTATTAAAATGCCTGTATCAGTATCAAAGGGAAAATGCCAGGCGGCTACTCACTCCCCCCAGAGAAG